CCTAGTATTTAGGGGTACCAAAACGGGACCCTGATTTTGGGAACCCGCCACATACTCCAGAATATCCATGTCCTAAAAAACCATTAAACGTTCATGTAGCCCTCGTTTTGATTTACACCAACCTGTGACACCTGCATGCTTACACTCAAAGCCCCTATGCCCTTTCTAGCCTATCACCTTGATTTGCATGCAGCTGTTTTAAAGGCAAGCCAGTAAGAGCTGCTGGCCACCTCCATGACACGTTGTAGGAAGATATCGCGGCGGTACGTGCAGTGAATTGTATGACGACGAAAAAGGACGTACTAGCGAGGAATCGAAGGTGTACTGAAACAATGAAGTACTAGAACACGATGGCCTACTTTTCATCTGACCCCTGGACTAAAGTTCTAGCATGTTCCCTCATAAGTCCACCGATAGCTCACATCTTGACTGAACTCTCGGCCGGTCACCCCCTGCATGTCCGCCACGATGGTCATGCTGGACACCTTGGCGAGAATCAATGAGTGATGTTCCTTATCCCATGTATCTTCCTCGCCCTTACATGATCCCATATAAACCTGATATAACTCCATAAATTTAGGTATGTATGTATTTATACATTTCTAGAGGGCATCCTAAAGAACCCGGTTTCAGGGTATACTTTTTAGCGGTCAGGGTTTAGGGGAACACGCATGGTGCTTCACATAGACCATTCTGAGCCCTGCTGATGCTATGATCTCAGAATACACATGCACCTGGGTGTTTCCAAAATTGGGGGCACAAAGTAAAAAAAACGGGTTATAGTATATAGGGGTGCTACATTGAGGTCCCTAAACCCTGAACCCCAAACCCTAAAAAGTAAACCCTACCCATTTGTGGAAACTCCCATGTCTTCAACTGGATCTCCTTGCCTCTCTCTGCAGCTCCTTCAGCTGCTCTTTGCAAAGGTGGAAAAGGTCCTTTGTCGACATGCTTCACTACAATAATGTGAAGGGCCTAACTGAATACCGGCACCATTTTGAGGATTTGAGGTAACCTATATCACGCTTATACAAGTCAGTTCAACATTACAATCTTGGCGTGTTGGTACTTGATTTGGCTTGTGCATTTCAATCCACGACCCCTGCATTGGACAGTGTGTGAGGGGCGAATTATGAACTCCACGCTCTCTCCTAAACGTCCGACTGCAACCGCTATTGCTGTGGGTACTCTGCCAACCCAATGTATCATATATCTATATAAATATGTAAAGCTACTCCTGCTGTCTCAAGGGATTCGTCAATTTTTTCTCCAGTGGCCTGCCAGAACAAATCTGAGGCATCTACCCGCCGCGCGAAGCCAGACTTGTCCAAACCTGCATTTCATCACAATCAAAAGTTGTGCCTTGCGAAGGGCTATATAAGTGGGCTTGCTTGGGCTCACGATGCCCGCAATGATGATGATAGAGCATGCAAAAGCAGCACACATATAGTCCCCCTTAGGTAGATCGAATCTTTGGGTATATTATAATAAGATCCCCATATACCCCATATTCTATCGACTTAAGGGGGACTATAGGAGGTAAGGTCCCGGATCACGCATCAGGCATCAACCTCAAAATGGTAGTTTCCCAGAATAAGGGGACCCCGATATAGGCCCCAAAATACTATTTTCCTTAATATTGGGACCGCCAAAAAAGTACCCTTAATTTTGGGAAACCCCCAAATGACCCACGGCTCTGAGTCGCGGACTCAGCAGGTCGAAGCTACCGATATGGAAAAACAGGACCTTAAAACAAGGTTTCACGCGGTTTAGGGTCTATAGGGTTTAAGGGTTGGGGCTCAGAATTTCTTCTTTCTTCAATTCTGTACTTCTGCAATCCCTGAAGAAGGGCACGACCGCTTGGATTCTGTAGTACAGACCATGAACCCTTGATGCGAAAACTGTTCCTTTGGAAAATACTGCGCCACAACAAAGATTGAGGTTCTAGTTTACTGTGGATTGGGTTCGCATGTATACCTTTTCGCTGGCCTTGCGCGGCTGAAAGGGAATTATTGACCTCTCTGATGAAGCAAGGTTCTCCACACCATGGAAACCGAAACGGATTTTCAAACGTCTTCATATCATTGGGGCTGCATGCATTTGAGGCCAGGCCTGCTCTGCGAGCATGTAAGCGCCCGGCAGCCTCACCCGGACGGTGCTGAACTTTTACGGTGGGCAGCCAGGCGTGCAACACCTGACAGCCGGGAGCTCATGTGAGTCACTTCTAGAAAGGGGGCTAACGTCAGCCTCTTGGCAATTCTTTGAGTGCGCGCTGCATGAGTCTTGTCGCTGGTAATAACAATAACGATCGAACTGCGCCAAGAAAAAGAATCATAATGTCATGGGGTTGATTTTTGCAAAGCTTTGTGTGCTGATGTGCTGTACTTATGAAAACGAACGACAGCTTCACGCTACATGCCCCATCCTGCGACACGCGAGAGAGCCCCAATTCAACCTGACGGGTTACGGAACGTTGAACCCCAAACTCCAAACCCCCGAGCTGTCTTGGCAATAGCAGTTCGTGCCCTAACTATTCTACATAACTTGGAAACAATCATGATCTCCTCATGTTTGCCCTGCCAATCCTGAGTGGAGACTGGAGCGGGCAGCGTCTCCCAGGTGCCTTGTGGTCCTGCCAGCGGATGCATTGACAATTTGTGGCCCGGGCTTTTGTATGCTCCTGGATTCGAATGACTCCTGCGTATTCACAATCTTTTCGTGTCAATCTTCGACATTAGAATTGAAAAGTAAGGCTGCAGTCGCAGGATCACGAATTTCCCCGGACCCCAGGAAACAAACACAGCATGGGTACAACGGTGTTTTATATTGTGTGTTCGTTTACTTCGGCATTCCTGATGTTTGGCTCAGTGCTGCGGGGCGCCCTGACTCAGAGATGGCAGGCCTAAAGAAAAATGCCTTAGGTGGACTTCCCCACCCAGCAATAATGAGTATACGGGATAATAAAGATTATACTAGGGTCCTTCCCCTTATATTCCCTTTATGCCGCCATCACAAGGCGGGGAGGTCCTCATAACAAATGCCCTACGTTTTTACAACTTGAACGTTCTTGTACCCACCTGCACCGAAATTTTGAATCCTTACAAACATGGACGAACTGGAACCTCCAAAAGGGTACCCTTAATTCGGAAAACCTCCGAACGGCCTTGCCCGCTGCTTTTCTTCGGCTGCCTGGCCTGCACACAAAGCAGAGTAGAGCAAACTACAAACACTACAAACACACCCAAACAATGCACTTGGTTGACGTAGGAACCTCTAGCAACAAAACCACGTGTTGGAAAACTTGTCAATTCCGTCAACAGCTTGTCTGCAATGACCTTTCTGGAAATCCACTGCCATCCAGCACTGATGCTTGCAGCGACAGTCCATGGATGGTCGTGCTGAAAACTCGAACCGTTGACTGTACACATGATAAGCAACACATTCAAGGCGAAGTCCATGAGCTTTGAAAAACTTTGTGCACCAGTGGCCCATTGCATAGTGGCCTTCGCAGGCCCGAAAAGTCCAGCAAAACAGCAACTTTGCAAAGACCTGGCGCTGAACATTTGCAATGCTTGGGCAATGAACCGTCATGCCAGCATCCCTCGCTGGATATCCTGGTCGCAAAGCATGCATGCTAGCCCATGCGAAAACGCGTGACGGCTTGGCAAAGACATGGCCATCCTGCCACGTGAAGCATCAGGGGTACAAAGATTTCCCTTCTTACATATGAACTGGTGTAGTTGTTGTTGTGATTTTTCTTGGTGTACTTAACGGATGGTGGAACATTTCCTGAATCTGAGAAACGAGGGCCACGTGATTGCCATAGCCTGCGGCATGTGGAAATCAATGTCATATGTGTCAGGTTAATGAGCCAATGGCAGCTGAAATCCTGAATGTTCTCAACGTCCAGCGAGCAAACACGCCAATTTTGAGACCGTCCTNNCCCCCCCCCCCCCCCCCCCCCCATCACCTTGCAAACAACTATATACCGCGCAAATCTAAGCTGCAAACACAAAATGGTGGCAACAAACTCAAGAATCTCATGGCAATCATCGGCATGCGGAGATTTTGGCGACAAACATGTGACCGATCTGCTCTGACCAGCCGCCATCCAGTTTCTGGCAAAGGCTGCTGCTTCAGTGAACGGTCTGCTCATTAACAGGTTTTTTTAACCGAACTACCTACAGTGGTCCAGAAACACTGACCAACTACGCTTAAAAGGGGCAGCTAGGTTAGCACGCCCGAAAGTCGGTACGCAAAAGAAATCCGGCAAGTGCGGTTGCTAGGCTTTGCCATATGGGCTCAATGGCCCCAATGGAAAACCCATAGACTGGTCGAACTCGCCCTCTTCATGGAGGGTGTCGCATGATAAGTTGGGGAGTCTCAGCGCCTCGAACGCCCGAGATTCACACAGCAAAGCGGGCTACTAAGTCATGAAGGATGCCCTGCTACACCAACACAACTAGCAGCGTTGCATTCTTGGTTTGCTCTTGCAAATTCTAAGCCGTGTTTGAATAACGTATCCGGTGAAATTTCAGATACCTCGCTGCTGTTCACGGGGCCGTAAACACAGAATCTATGTCTGTCTGCATGGGGATGTTATCTACTGAGTGAAAAACATGTCCTTCCGCAAAGTGGCAAAGCTGTTCAGTGCAATAAAAACACATCCAAAAAACGTTAACGGCCTTAACGCGATACTGAAAATTCTGATCGTTAGGATTCGTAATCATCTGAAATTGTTCTTTCCTGTTTTTAAGATGGGGACCCACAACATACACATATACGTATGCACAACTAACTGCTGTGCGTACGGCTGTTGTATCTCTGTGTTGTACCCTGCAATCGTATGGTGAATTCTGACCGTGCGGCCCGCGCATCTGGTTGATCATCATCGGTCTTCAAGAACTCCCACCGCTGGCAGCCGCCCCGCTGGCGCCAGCGCTGGCACCGGGTGAGTCGTCGGCTCGCCATCTCGGCAGTTCCTTGGTAATCCCCTCACCTCATAACCGCCACCCCCTTGATAATGAACACCCTCAATAGTACCAGTAGCCGAAAGGATACCCGAGACCGTCGGAATTCTTCAAGAAAGGCTATGCCGGCCTAGCTTCGCAGTCGGCGAAGGGGAGCAAAATTCAGAAGGATCAGCATCGTACCAGCAATCAAAATTATCAGCTTCACGATCAGAAGCAGGAGGGACACGAAGTAGTCGCGAAAGATCCACTTCAAAACCTTATTATTGACCATTGCTGCTGCATTTTTTTTGCATGACAGGCGAAACGGCATTGGAAAAACAGAACAAAAATTGAATTGTTAAACCGCTCTTCCCCGTCCTGCGCTCACGCAAAAGAATCGCAGGCAAGACGCATACAACACAGCACTTGATGCCACGGAATAATTCCACACCTGACGGCCGCTGTTTTTCCTGTAGTTACGGTACTGAGATTACGCTCACAAGCCGCCCAAACAGAATAAAGGGTTATGGGGATTATATAGGGGTTATATAGGGATTATAGGGTATATATTGGGGTTATATAGGGATAATGGAAAAGAAAATGGAAACTACTATATTATAATATAACAGCAGTAAATGACAGGCGTGTCCGTTGACCACATTTGACAACCTGATAGCATCAACTCAGAATCAATTCCTCATAAATCAATTGTTCATAAATCAATTGCTCAAAATTCCGCAGCCTTAAATGGCACTTGCTGCGCCTGTGATTCCAGCTCTTTATTTCTGGGGTCACGCAAATGCTCCACCACTTTCAAGAGCTTCTTCATCATCTCCTGGAACACTTCCTCGAACTTTAAGGGAGCGGACTTGCAATGGCCGATGCTTGTCCCGAAATGTTCAACATTTGTTTTTGGGAAAAAGTGCCGGGTCGATGGATGAACATGTGGACCTGCAAACACATTCTTGTTGAAACACTCTTTTCTCGCGCTTTAGAAG